AGTTATGTTAAGGGAAATTTATTTTTTTATATCTGTTCTATTTAGATAATATTCGGAAAGTAAATATTAATTCAACAAGAACCCTGCATATTCCTCATTATATTACAGAAGTTGTCTACATCATAACATAATGTAAATAGATTCCTTCTCAATATCATTAATCAATTTGCTAAGTGGTTAAGGTTGTTCTATTAGAAATTTATATCTGTAAATACATTCTGACTGTCTCTTATAAAACTATTAAATTTTTAAGAGTTCTTAAGATTTAATTAAATTTAAAAAAATGTATATATTTTTATAACGTGTTTCTAAACTATTATAATTTTACAAACTGGAAAATAAATTTCGCAGTCTAAGCAACTTTTTTAAAGTTACTAAGTTTATTTTAAGCAATTTGTAGATTTTTTCAGCAAATTCTAAATGATTTGATGAATTTGGCATTTTCATTGATAAAATTTCGAGGTATGCGGAAACCTCAATAAATCATTTTGTTAATGAGACATAAATCTTTGATGATGGGTTAATAGAAATGCGTGATTAGACAAACTAAACATGTTAGTCTTAAATAAGTCATTAATACAAGTTTATTTTAAAATTTCATTTTCAGAGAACTAAGAGTTGGGCATAAGTTAGCTTATATGGAACTGGTTGACACTGAATGTTACACACAGTTCCCTGGATCTTTAACAATATGATGATTATTAGAGATATTGATTAGAAAGCTGAAGTAGCTCGGTTCTAGTAATATATTAAGAACAAATTAAATTTACCCAAAGAATGAATATACATATATAATTCAGTAAGATATAGTATTAAAGTGTTTTAGAGAATCAGAGACTGATATACAGAAAAGAATTTGAATACTTAAGAATTTTATGATAAATATGTTCTATAAAAAAGAAAAAAAATTTGTAAAAAAAAATTTTTTAATATTAGATAATAAAGATAACATTTTTATTAGCTTTAATATACTTGTTTACTATATATATCAACACTAAAATCTTCACTCAATTAAATTTTTTTCCCGGTAAAATAAAACAGAATTCATTCGTTAGCAATAATTTTCTTACACTCAAGAACGGAAAGTTCTTTAGGGGTATTTCTTTAGGGGTTCTTTAGGGGTATCAACTACCCCTAAAGAACTTTCCGTTCTTGAGTGTAAGAAAATTATTACTAACGAATGAATTCTGTTTTATTTTACCCGGAAAAAATTTAATTGAGTGAAGATTATGGTGAATAAAACATCTAATAAAGCATTATATAATCCGCAGAACAATCAGATTTGATACTATTGGTTTGAGAAACGGTACCACTTCACACAATCAACCTGAACTCTCGCAACTGCGACACAACAAGTATGGATCCCATAGGAATCAATACTCTTTCGACATTCTTAATGTCGTTTAAGTATGTTTTTATTATCACTTCTATGTCTACTAAATAAAATATTTAGAACCTATTGGTACTTATGAAATATGATCAGTAATATTTTGACAATCGTATTATAGCATAATAAATATTTGAAGAACAATTAATACGTATTAATACACAAGTATCATCGCGACTAGAAACATGATAGTACTCATTACCAAATTCCATAAAGCAACCTGATGATCCCAGAATCAAATAACTGAAAATAAATTGAATAAAGTTGTGATCAAAAATACTCTATCGACATCTTAAACGTACGTTTAATACGAGGAACCAACATCGACTCAGATCACTTTCTTGTTACAAACACATTTCGGCCACCATAAAACAACCTGATGATCCCAGAAAGAGATAGAGAGAGAGGTTCAAATAACTACAATTGAAATTAATCAAGTTGTGCTAGAAGGCATTCTTTCATTATCATATGCCTTGTTTTCACTATGTCATTTTAAATGACAATTATAATTGACTGGTGTGTCAAATGCGTTTTTATTACGTGAAAAGAATTCGAATATGACATCATATGACTACCTGTTTTCATTGTACTGACAATATTTGACATTGAAAATGACATAGTCAAGACAAGGCATTAGAAGTACGTTTAATACAAGAAACCAACATCAAATCAGGTCACTTTCTTACCTGAAAAATGTACACAGTCTATCATGTATTGAAACACTACTCTCAAGCACTACTACTTTAATCCCCCTCTTGATGATTAATGCAAATAAATAAGTTAGAACAACTGTATATAGGAAATATATTTTTCTAATTGTTAAACTTGTTTACATTGTTTATTCTAGTCTTGGTACTATTTTATAATGAAATATATTGTTGTCAACAAAAATCAATCACAAACCTTCGTAAAGAACTTTGACTTATAGTATGGTTATTCCCAAAACTGTTTCCTTAACAAATCAATTAAAATGCATTCGTAAATTTATCGCTAAACAGTTGTGCAAATTTGGCTTGAATAAATAATATAAAATAAAATAATAATTGAACAATCGAATGACGAATAAGGTAGCATTGGGAACAATGCTAAATTTGCATATTTGAAAACTGCATTTTTTGCGAATACTATTTGTACGCGGCTTATTATGTAAATTTTCGGTAATTTTGGATATGATGACGTTAATTTTTTATTTGTTTGACCAAACTTTAACCATTTGATTAATTACTCATATACCAAAATACGTTTGACAGCTGCTAAGAGCAAAAAAAAATGCTTGAGCTTGAGATGCGAAGAGTTTGACTGAAACTGAGAAGATATCGCGGCTTTCTGATAAGCTACTGCGAAACACATTTTGACCAATAACTTGGGAGCAGTAATTAATCAAAACAAAAAAATAATATAAAACAAATTATTAGAAAAAAACGAGCATTTCAAATGCTATTGGGCATCTTATTAATTTTTTTTTATTCATTTTTTTTAAATTACTAGTAGTTTAATTCCAAAAGCCAAAAACCAGGTAATTTAAAACACACGTTAAAGTAAAGATTAAACTTTGACTATAAAAACCGAGATGATCTGAGCAATAACATCAGTTTCAGTTTATACACTCGAAGAGCAATAAAGCAATCCAAAACTATAAAAATGCGTTTGTTCTTGGTAAATACAGTAGAATACTTTTAGTGTTGTGTGAAAATTACCTTTAAACATTTCAATAGAAAGTGATCTTTATGTTTTGAAAGGATAACAAAGAATTGAACTATAATGTTTGTTATTTGTCTCTATATACTTTTAGACATTGTGTGCTTTAGCAGCAGTTGCTTACGCCAAACCACAAGGTTACAACTATGGTGTATCAAGTGGAAACATCGGCAGTAGTATCGGCGGAGGCATCGGCGGTAGCATCGGCGGTTTTGGTGGCAGTAACTATAGACCATCTGGTAGTTTTGGTAGTGCAACAAATACTTTCAGTACCTTAAATACTGGCAGCAGTAACACTGGTTATAACCAATTTGGTGTACAAACTGGACAAGGTGTACAACATCATCAACAACAACAGGGCGGTTTTGAAGCACCACTCGTACACAAACAATTCTTTACTATTTCTGCACCTGAGGATCATGATTCTTTAGATCGTTCCAAACACTTTGTTATTGGACGTCCACAAAAGAACTATCGTGTTGTATTTATTAAGGCACCATCATCAAGCAGCGCTAATGTTAAACTTTCTGCTGAATACGCACCTAAAGAAGAGAAAACAGTCATTTATGTATTGTCCAAAAAGGATTCAGCTTTGGAGGTTAACGACATTGCCACACCAGCACCAACTGTTCCCAGCAAGCCAGAAGTATTCTTCATTAAATACAAAACTGAAGATGAAGCTACACATGCTCAAAAACAAATTCAAGGTATTATAAATATTTTTATGGACATTATTACTAAAAATACTTTACTAACTTTTTTTTTCTCTGTATAAATTAGCTGAATATGACAAAATTGAGGGTACCTCTGAACATGCCGACGGTGGTGTGGGACAAGTACAATCAGTTATTGGATCCTTGGGCGGTGGCAGTGATTTTGGTGCTAGTTCTACCAATGTACACCAAACCAGTGGTAGTATTGGTGGTTTTTCAGGTGTTGGTAGCAGCGGTGTTGGCACTGGTGGTTTCTCTGGAATTGGAAGCAGTGGTGTGGGTACTGGTGGTTTCTCTGGAATTGGTAGCAGTGGTGTTGGTACTGGTGGCTTTTCTGGTATTAGTACCAGTAGTATTGGCACTGGCGGCTTTTCTGGAATTGGTAGCAGTATTAGTAGTGGATCTGGAAGCGCACAAGGCAATACATACTTGCCACCATCCAATTAGGAATTTAATGAACCTAACACTTTTTAAGCAAGGCACAAAAGTATTATTATAACCACACAATTTTTGTTTTTTTGTTTATTGAACGAATATATAATAAAATTTATACTATAAACGAAATAAGATTCTAGTTTAAAAATTTTTATAAACATGGATTAACTTTCAGGAGTTTTTGACTTTAACTTTGTAGCCAATATCTCAACGTACGTACCATCAATAATATATTCTTTAATAATCATAATATAATATAATCGTAATAATATTTATATTAAATAATATTTAATAATCGTAAAAATACTTTTGTATTATTAACAAGACTACAATCATTATTCATCACCAAGTACTATTTTAACTTTGTAGCCGATATCTCAACGTACCATCAATAATATATTATCGTCAATAATATTTAATAATCGTAAAAATACTTTCGTATTATTAAGAAGGCAACGAGCTTTATTCAACACCAACTAATGGTTCCATGAACCAAACTTGTTAATACTGTAACTGCCATCTGTCCTTACAATCAAGTGCCTCTCACCACTCCTAATTGAGCTATTGGGTTAGTGATCAATAATCACTAACAACTATAATTTTTTAAACAAAATAATAAACCCATTTAGTGCAGCTGCATATAAAATACACAAAAAAGTCATTCTAAGAAAATTATTCTTTACTCTTTCATTTAATGTAATAGTTTTTCTTCCCTTTATAATAAAAAAAAGTAAAAATATTTACATAATCTTATTTAGATCACTCACCAACTGACTTAATGGCTTGTTTTAATAACAAACTCGACTGGCTCTTATCTAATGTATCTATTTCACGGCACGTTCGATACAAACTCGAAATCATAGACTCCACAGTAGATGAACCGTCAAATGATGGCAACATTGATATGAAACGGTTTAATTCATTCAATTCTGCAAACAACAATAATGCAATAAATAAAAGCAAAAGCAGTTTTAAGAATTAGTGCACCCACCTTCATACTCATTATAAGTTTTATAATTCCATTCACCGCGCTTAATAACAAAATAATCGTTAGCCGCGTACTCATGCGCAAAATTACCACACGCCCACTCATATGTATCTCGACAGGAACTCTTACTGGTGTTAGCCCAAAGCAAAATTTGTTGACTGGCTTCTACACACTCTTTTTCCAAACAGACTTTCGCTTTGAAATAGAACGGCACTTCTGGCCAGGAAGCTATCAATACGATTATAATCACTATAAGTAAGGCACAAAAGCAGGCAGTCGTTATATATAAAATACGACGTTTACGCGATAATCTCATTAACGCATCAACTGATAAACGTCCTGAAAGCAAAAAGTCTTTAACGAAAAATTCGTTGTACATTTATTAGTGCAATGGAGTGCTGATGGAAGACATTTATTTAAAGATAAACACAATTTTATAATGTGATATAGTGCATTTGTAAGCAAATGAAGCTCTTACAGATTATATACTTACCTCTCAGTCTGTTTGTGCTGGCATTACCACTTAGGTTCGCGGTTTCAGCTTGAGTGCTACTATCACTACCCCCACCGACGCCATCATTTTGTGCTTCTAGATCTTTTCGCGATAAATTATTGTCAATATTAAATTTTTGTTGATTTATTGTCAATGGAGCAGTTTCGCTCCCTTCGATTTGTTGTTTTTGTAACTCGTCACTTTTCAGATTTCGATCATCCACCTCATCAATGGCGGATATAGTGGGTCTATACTTACCCTGACTTAGTGCCATTTTTGAGGAAATTACTATTTTATATTGTTATAAGAATACTATATGAATTTCAATGTTAAATGATATGTTAGAAACATATTTTGTTAAATTTTGTTTTGAAATATTCGAGTTTTCAGGTTGTATTTACATTACATTAGAGTGTCTGGAAATAAGCAAAAAAAATTAATAATTATTACTGGTCAATTTTAAATATATAGTTTATATTAATATATTATAAGAATAAAATATACATAAATTAGTTTATCAATTTGCTGTCTAATGAGATGTTGTCAATAATGTACTTTTTTGTTGCAGTAGCTGTAGCCTAGGTTAGATTATGCCGGCGATCCAAAAGGTTCACTTAGATAGGTCTATTGGCCGATTGTGTAATGGGTATAAAATTTAAGTTTTACAAGGTATTAGTTTGTATAAAGGACAAACTCAAAGTTTTGAAACCACCTTAAATCTTCGACAGAGCTTCAAATACTATTTAATGATCTTACAGTATTCGTCTGTCCGATATTCTTAATGCAGCTGTCTTAGTTTTGGATCAAAACAAGTACAAGAGAAGTTATAGTTGCAGATCAGTGCACAAAGAGGAACTCATTATTTTTTAATTTATTCAGAATTCTGCACTCGCCAGAAAGATTGTATTCATTACAAGTTTTCTCTTCCTAAAGTATAAATCTATTCGATATTCTTACGGACCAGAAAAAAAGCAGAAAGCTTTTTGGTATTCTGGACACATCTTGACAAATTTCAAAGCTCAAGTACCTAGTGCTTCTCACCACACTATGGTGTAACGTGTTTTGTATAGAAAATTGTTCGTAACTGTTCGTAAAAAATGCTTGTAAAGAGCACATATTTTAAGTTGCATTTTTCATGCATTCAAATAACAATAAAAAATATGCTTGTAAAGAGCGTATATTTTAGTTAAGAATATTTGTCATGCATGCAAAAAATAAAAAATGCTTAAAAAAAGCATATTTTTATAGTTGTCAACAGCATTTATAGTATTGACAACTAATAAGAAAAAGAGCTTTTTATTTATGTCACAGAATACCAAAACCTTTACAGCAGTCAATTTTGACAAGTGTCAATGTTTGACAAGTTTATAAAGTGTACAGAATAGGTCCGTTAATGTACTTATCATAGAAATAGATCAGAGAGAAAATATTCTGTTACAAATTTTTAAATATTCTGTCATAATCTGACAAGACTAAACAGAATTCATGACAGAACCATAAATCGGTACACTCCCAAGTGGAAGTGAACATTTTTTAAAATTTTTACTATACGTAGCACAAAGTAAATATGTCTAATAGCTAGCTTTAATCCGATTGAAAATCAAACAGCTCACATGCATCTTATAACCAAAAATCTGCAATACGATCATACGAATTTTGATTATTTTTTTGTTTAATTTATTTTTGTTTTCTGAGAATTAACGTAAATTATTATTTTACAAAAGTGCATAAATTTGCACTTAATGATTTCCTTTGTTACATTTTGTTTTTGTTAAATAAATATTTCCATAACAAATCATTTTCAAATTTAAGTAAACACAAAATTTAAACCAAAACAATACCAAATAAATAAGAGAAACAAAAATTACTTTCAAATAAAAAGATTAAAAGTACAAAATCTGGAAAATGAAAGAAAAATATTTACAGAACAGGAAAAAGAGTAAAATTTTGAATTCATTAAATTATTATAAACAAATTGCTAAAAGCACAAAATCTATTAAATCATTAATATTTTTATGGTTGGTTAATAAAATTTTGGATTGCATGCACAAAGTTTTGTATATTTATTTAGTTAAGATATTAAAATCTTATTTTGGAGTAGTGAATCAATGACCTTGGCCTTAATTTAGAAACTTAATGAACATATAAAAAAGTGCTTAATTGCTTATTTAACTGTTCTTAATTAAAAAAGCTGTTAATTAGTCACAAGATTCATTTAAATTTATATATATTTTCGTAGTTAGAAATAATATCACAAATGACTTTTTTTCGAAAAATTATTCTAGTTAAAATAAATAATAATAATAATTAATAATTTTGATTTATGAATAATATAAAATTTAGTGATTTATCTAATTCTTTACTCTTGCGGATATACTATTAATATACTATATAATACTTCTATATAATACTTCTATATAATACTTCTATATAATACTTCTATATAATACTTCTACATAATACTTCTATATAATACTTCTATATAATACTTCTATATATACTTCCATAACTCGAAGTACTATTTTGCAAAGAAAAGGAGGTTCGACGACTTATGGAGACAGATTTTTTAAATTCTCTAATTCTCTGATCTGGGGAAAGGAACTTCCCCTAACACCAAAATGGATTCATACTTAAAACAAAAATTCAACTTATAGAATGCACTTTCCCATATTTCTATTGGCACGTGACAATATTTTTATTCGAATTATAGAGAAAATTGAGTTATAGAAGTTTAATTTAAGGAAGCAGAATGGTATGAAATTTGCGCTCTAAAACTCTATTGCACTCTTTTCAGTTTGAGTTATAGAAAATTCGTGTTATAGAAATTCGAGTTATGACAGATTGACTTTATGTATTGAATATAATATTGAATTAAATTGAAAAAATGTTGCTTGTTAGAATATTAAGAATCACTCATATTGTCACTCACATTATCACTCATATTGTCACTTATATTTTCACTCGTATTATCACTCATATAATCGCTCATATTTTCTCCTATGTGCCTATATTTTTGAGAGTTGCCTAAAGTATTTATCGCTAAGAATCACCACTCTATCCTAAAAGTAAAGAGTTGCATTATCATTTTAATATATTATTTTTATATTTTTATAATTATATCACTCATATTGTCACTTATATTTGCACTTATATACTTGTATCTATGAAGGATTGCTTAAAGTTCTGGATAGTTGTCACTTGAAATATATAGATCTTAAGGTATTATTTCTTTTGATGTTGGTATATCATCTATTATTCTTCTTCTTCTTTGCTTAATCAAATGTAAGTTTATGTCTAAAGCACTTGTACTCAATAATGTCTGTGACCATTTAGTTGATCTACTGTAAAAAAAGTCCCGTTGAATTCTGATAATAAATTAGTCAGATGATTTAATAAAAGCATACTCTGAAGACGACCATATCTTTCTATTCCGTTAGAATATTACATTTGATTTGAGAGAGTGCAATTCTAAATTAGTGTGCGCTTTCACAGAATCGAACAATTTCAGCGCTCTGTCTTTCATATACTTTTGCACACTCTGGACTCTAAAGTGTTTCTGTATTTTTTTATTTCTGATATACCATGGAGCTTTTAACATATGTCTTAGTACAATATTCTGATAAATTTGGGGTTTTCTAATGATAGATAGAGTAGCATTGTCATCTTTTATTAACAGAATTTCTTTGATTCTTAATTTCTTCTGATATCTTATCGAAAAACATCGCTTTGTCTTTAGATACATTTTTTTAACCGTACAAACAAAATTGCTCTGTTCCAACGCAAAGTTCTGTCAACTTTTTGAGTGTTTTGGAACTATAAGCTTAAGAAATGTTACTCAAACATTGATGGTAGTCGGGTTTGTGGTGATAATCTGTGGTTTATGATGGTAATCTGGTAATTTATGATGATAATATGTGGTTTATGTCAGTACTTTAAGAAAGTGATATTAAAAGCATAAATTCTTTTGTTTTGGCACACTAGAATTAGAAACAGATAAGCATATGGAGCTTGAGTGTTAAAATATGGAGCTTGAGTGTTAAAATTTTTGAAAATATTAGACGTCATAACATTGTATACATTGTATTGTTATTGTAACACAAAATTCTATTCGATTTTTAGGAAATTGAATAAGAGTGTTATTATGTAGCATAGACCTTATATATCTATCAATAATGCTTTATTTCGAAATGTTCGAATTTTTCTGATGGCAGAACCATATGTCCGCGTAAAAAACATGCTTTTATAATTTATTTGTATTGTT